CGCGAAACCACACTTAAATACCTCATAGTTTCACTCCTTTAGTACTTATATCTTCAGCTATGTTTTATAGTAGTTATATACCCTGAGTTGTTTAAAATTAGCATGTTAGTATACTTTGTTATGTAAACGTGAAATTTTTTTATCCGAAAGTTCTCCTATAAGATTCATATGTTAATTTTAGAGCTTTTAACTATTCATAATTACTAAATTATTGTTTAACTGAAAATTCCATGTCATTCCTTGATGCATCTAATTTAACATGATTAGCAGTTTCTATTTGAAGTTAGCAACTTTTTAGTCATCATGTATATACTCTGGGGATGCCTGAGTGAGTTTTGTACATATAACGCCATCGACAAATGAAAGATTTTGTTCAGTTACCAAAAAAATTACTGATAAACCTATCCAAATTATAATTTAATTGTATTTTAATTCTATTTCAAAAATAGAATTTGAAAAGATTTAACAATAAATTTAAAATTGTAGAATTTTCATATGAATATCATATGTTAACTTTCAGATAAATTTTTTACATTTGCATAATATAAAGTATTAATATGCTAATTTTAAACAAGTCAGTGTATATAAATGCTATGAAATACAAGTAAAGGTATATAAGTGCCAAGGAAGTGAAACTACAAGGTATTTAAGTGCTACATGCTAAATTCCGTTGTGGGTTAATTTTAGAAAACCCCCTTAGCTATGGGAGTCATCTTGGAGAATCAGGGTCATCTTAGAGAGCCCCCCTCAACTATTTTAAATCAAAANAAACACCCCCCCCCCCCCCCCCCCCCACCCCCAAAACCCCTCAAAAAACCCAAAAAAAAAAAAGATTTAGGGTTGTTGTAGATAACCCATCTCAACTTTCATAATATGACTATCTCCTCTAAACTTTTCTCATTTAACCACCTAAATTAATATAATTAAAATCTAGAGGAACATATGATTTAAAATGACTGTACCATACCATGGTGTTCCCTTTTAACTTTTATGATTAAAATACCTTCCATTTTATCCCGCTCCCCTAGGGTTAGGCATGCCTCGGTTCAAACCACGGGTTGAACTAGCCAAGACCAATTTGGGTCTAAACTCAGCTCGACCCTACCCTGACTCTAGTTTAATTATAAATATTTACTTTGTTTAGTAAAAAAAAAATAGGCCTCCAGCAGTTAGGTATTCCTTCAAAGTCGAGATTGTGCATTTATGATATTTTATGTGTGATGTTTTTTCAAAGTCCGAATTGTGTATTTGCAATGTTTTCTGCGTGATGTGTGTGTGTGTATATCATTTTAAATAAAAAGTCTAAAATAGGAAAAAAAATTAATTAAATATAATTTTAAAAATATGAACACAAAGTTATGAGTCGACCCACGAACCATGGGCTGTGGGCCCGGCCCGCTCCGAGGCGGGTTGTGAACAGCCTAGGTCTAGTCCCAGACCCAGGATCAGAGAAGCAGGCTCAACCCACTCTGATCGGTGTGGGCCCGGGTTAGACCTGACCCGGCCGGGCCTTGAACCCCGTAGGCCAGGTCTTAGGCCTGAACTGGCCCGACCCACACCCACCCCTACCCCCCTTCTTTCTCCATCTCTATTACTAGATCCACGTGTGAACTTGATTTATTCTTTCTTTTTTGAAATACTAAACTTATTTTATTTTCTACTTAGCCATGCTTCTAATGTTTGAAATAATTTAAAGTTATAAATTTTTTAAATATTAGTTTCCTCATCAAAACCCATCAAATTGAAGTCTAATATTTTGATTGGGTTGATTCTTTAAAAAAATGAGTTTTTTTCTCAACAAAGGGTATTGTAGTTATTGCATATATTGAATTAATGATATTAGGGTGTTTATTTGAGAAAAAAAAGATAAAGGGGGTTTTGTGAGGCACACCATAGTTTGAAAGTTGAGGGATTATCTACATTACCTTCAAAATTGAGGGGAGTTTTCTACTGTTAAAATAGTTGATGTGGGTTTTTTTGTGACAAACTGCATGGTGAAGTGGGGTTTTCTAAAATTAACCCTTCCGTTTTTTATTACTATAGAAACTCATACTAGATATGTAGCAGCAAATGCGTAAAAAACTTATACTTGCTTATAACTAGATCTGAAGTAATTGTTAAACTATAAATTTTTAATAAAAGCCGGATATTTTACTGGCACAACAAGAGATTATTGTTTGAAAGTGAGATATTTTGGTAGGATAATATGAGATGTTTCAGTTGTGTGTTTTGATCTCTGGATGTATCACATACTAAGATAAATCTCAAAACAAAATCAATAGATTAAAAAGTTGGTAGACAACATGTTTTTAATTCACTTAAGTTTATTTTAACTTTACACTTATTAATTATTATTATTATAAAAGTTTTATGAAATGAATTCCTCAAATGTGAAACTGAGAAAGATCTTCAAAAATTTTGGCACTTTTTCCTATTTTTTGGCTAGTTGGCGCTAAGATAGCTTCAACAATCGCACATTTTCCTCACTTATAAGTTTTAATGCATCTTTTGTTACATACCACTCACTTCCCCATATTTATTAAAATATCCAAAATCTTGATATTTATTAAAATATCCCTCAAGTCTTAATATTTATTAAAATACCCGTCAAATAGTTCTACATTGAGTTAGTATGCCCTCAATGACCTGACCTAAACAAAGGAATATTTTGAAAATATCCCTTTTTGGGGCATACTAGCTCAGTGTTGAAAACTTAAGGGTATTTTAATAATCTTGAGATTTGGTTATTCTAATAGAAATGGACTTTTTTGGGGCATCATACTTCAGTTTTGGGTTATTCTAATAGAAATGAGTTTTTTCAAAACATGTCCCAAAGTCTTTTGTTTTACCTTTTTTTTGTTGTTTTGGTTTTTTTGGGGGGTTTGGGGAGGGATTGTTCAGCTAAAAGACACTTTAAGTAAAAAAAAAAAAAAAATCCTTTGGGACATGTTTTGAAAAAACAAACTTGGGGCATCATACTTCAGTTTTGTTGAACTTTAGAGTAGTTTTGCGCAAGAAAAAAAAATCTCGACATTTGCATTAATGACAATCATAGGCCAAGTTTGGGATTCTTATAAGGGGTGATGTATGTCTCATCATTGCCCTAAATTCAACCTCGTCAATATATATTTTATTCACCACTAAATTGGGATGGAACTGTGATGTAGAACACACGACAAACACGTTTATGTCAAAGTGGGATAGTCGCAAGCCCAAATGCGAGCCTGGTCGAAGAAAATAACTTTTTTCGAAGAAACAGTCATAACTTTCAAACCGTACGTCGGAATTAGACGAATTATATATGAAAAAAATTTGACTATCTTGACGAGACGGACCCATCCGAACCGACCCCTAAGGGTACGATTTGCTTCCTCCGTTTCGCTAAATTCCTTACGGTTTGAGAGATATCTGTATTTTTGTTCATTTTTTACTATTTTTAGTAATGCTTTAGGAGTCTGTTTTGATTAGGAAACAAAGCCGGTTTGATCTCAGATTTGACCGGTGGACTTTCCTAGTCGTAAGGAGTCTTTTTAGGAGTTTTAATATTTTAGGAATTCTTTTTCTATTTTTGGTAAGTTAGAGTCATTGTAGGAGTTTGAGTCCTTGTAAAAGTCTTATTTTTTTTCTATTTAAGTAGGGTCTTGTAAGCCCTAGAGGCATAACTTTTGAATAATAAAATTTCGGTTTTCTTCAATATTTACTCCGTGGATTCAAAGATTGTCCTTGGTGGATTCCGAGGCTACTACTTCTGCGCTGTGTCAAACTGAGTGGAAGGAAATTTCCTTAAATTTTCATCTCTTCTCTCCTCTATCTTCCTTTAACTTTCTTACCACAGTGAAATCCCAAACATGCTATTAGGTTATCAACATCAAAAAATAGCACTTAAATACCTTATAGTTCCACTCCTTTAGCACTTATATACCATTAGGTATATTCCTAGCATTTATATACCCTGAATTGTTCAAAATTGGCACGTTAATACCCTCTATTATGCAAACGTGAAAAATTTCATCCGAAAGTTGCCATACATGTCATGCCTTAGCCTATGGCCCATTGACGCGAAGTATATCTTGGAACCAACTAAGTGCAGTGCATTTTTTGGCTTAAATCACTGCCAAAATTAACGAGCTAGTACTACACTTGAGTTTTTAGCTCATAAACACTCAAGTTCTTCTACAAACCCACTAGTGTGGGACTATCTTTGGGGGTCTCACAATATAACACTCATATGTTAATTTTACAGATTTTTAATCATTAAAAATTATTAAATTACTGTTAAACCTATCAAATTCCTAGTTTAAATGTATTTTAATTCTGTTTTAAAAATAGAAATTTGAAAATATTTAACAATAAATTTAACAAACTCAATAAACATAAAGTTATAAAATTAGTATCTAAATATCATATAAGAACTTTCGGATAATTTTTTTTATATTTGCAAGATAGAGAGTATTACCATGCTAATTTTTAACAACTCAACATACATAAATTTTATAAAATATAACTGAGGATATACAAGTGCTAGGACAAATTTTCAAAACCAACCCATTTGATAAACTATTCCCAAAAAAAGACCCATTTCAGTGTTATTTGCAAAAACCGACCTGGTTTCAGCCTCAGCGCTGAAACCAGGTCGGTTTTTGAAAAAAAGTTTCCAAAACTTCACGGGAGTTCAACTCCCGTGAAGTTTTGTTATGAGAAAAAACTTCACGGGAGTTGAACTCCCGTGAAGTTTCGTAAAGTTTTTTAGAAAAACCGACCTGGTTTCAGCGACAGTGCTGAAACCAGGTCGGTTTCTCTAAATAAATCTGAAACGGGTCGTTTTTTGCAATTAGTTTATCAAATGGGTTGGTTTTGAAAATTTGTCCACAAGTGCTAAGGAAGTCAAAACTATAAGGTATTTACGTGCTATTTAGCCAAATTAAAATGAGATGAAGTTTCGGGGTTTTAAGTGCATATCTACCACCCCTCCACTCGCCCCCCCCCTCCTAAGATCCTGCCTATTCGCGAGCCTAAAAACCCCCCACCCCTCTGAAACCGGGCCCCATCATCTCGCCTCCTCCTCCTCCTCTTCCTCTCTCTCCCCGCTATCGCTCGTCCAATCACACGAGAGAAGGAGAGAGGGAGAGATCAAGCAATTCTTATTAGACAGAGAAAACGCCCGAATATTTGCTCCTCTTTAAAACCCTAAAAAACCCTTTTTTGCACCAATTTCCCCCTAAATCGATTGCGGGCAGACCCAAACCCTAAACTCTACGGCGATACACGATGGGCCTCTGCAGTCATTGTGATGAGGATTTTCCTACGGTCCGCGACCCCGACGGTTACATGTGAGTAGTTTTGTTTTCATCCAAGATTTTGTATAGATTTTGCGCACTTCTTCCTCTTTTGTAATTTTTCTCGTGTTTGGGGGTTTAGTTGCTGTACTCAGTGTGGAAGGGTCATCGATCAGGAGATGTACACTGATGAGCCCACTTTCATAAAAGATGGAAACGGCCAGGTCTGTTTATTTTTCGTTATTTTTTATATGGGTTTTAGTCTAATTTTACTTCTTAAGAATGCTTATTTTTAAATGTTGTATAAAAAGCATTTTCCCCCCATCACAGTCGAGGTTCGCAGGGAGCAGGATGAGAAGTTTTGATAATGCTTACAGTATTTCTCGTGAGAGAACATTACAGAGAGGTACGGGCTTTTGGTGGAATCGTTTCCGTTAGTTTTTATCTTGTTTTTGATTTTTTATTTATTTATGCAGCTATTTTCAAAGCAAATGATCCACATTGATTTAGGATACTGGGTTCATTATACTGACTAATTTATGTGGAAAAAGTGTTATGGTTTATCTGTTAACACTGCTGCACATCATTCGTTTCTTCAGGGAGACAGGAGATTGAGAACATTGTGAGCGTGCTGCAGATTAGCGGTGGAGGTGGCACAGTTGGTGAAGCTCTGCGATTCTATGAAGTAAGCCACGTTTAAACGATTTCTTTCTTGTTTTTGTCATTGACAAGCTAGCAAACATATTAATCTGATCCAAATTGTGTTAATTTTCAAGATTGCAGTGGATAGGAATTTCACTAAAGGTCGGAGGACATCTCAAGTTGCAGCTGCGTGCCTCTACATTCATTGCCGGTAAGAAGTATTACAATTTTTTCATGATGCTTTCCTTGTGGCTATGTATACAACGCATATCGACACATCATATTCAAGAGACTTGGAATGCATGAAAGTAAGGGTGTTTCGTTGCATTTCCTACGAAGTAACGTTTGCTAGTGATATGAGAAACATCAGATGTTTGAGAACCCACAGTGACCAATTTTTATTTGATCAATCAATTATCTGTTCGTTTCAAAATCAAATACTTACATGAAAACTTTTAAAAGTAAGCTTCACGATTAACATTGTTTTATTTTCTCATATTATTATGTCCTATGTCCTTCCCAATTTCATTTGTATGTTACTCTTGATTTTTATTACTACTCTCCCCTACTGACAATTAATATATGGATAGTGACCATCAGGAATCGATCTTTTTCATTTATCAATTATTTACTTATGATTACTTTCTAAACTACCTTACATTATTTGCTAAATTAAGATAGATTCTATTCTAAATATTAGTTTATGAAGAATTTAAAAACATAGTCTTTCTCCATATGTACGCGCCAAACCTATAATTTTGCTTATGCATATCTTTCAATGAATACTAAATTAGCATATATACATATGACATTAGCATTAACTTAGGGATGAACATCCTGGTTGATTAACTGACCCGAACCTAGCCCAAAGTTAGCAAGTTTAGGTAAGGGCTTACCTGTTCTTGGTCGTGATTGTCAACTTGCCACACTTAACTTGGTAGCCTGGATTTGGTTACCTTTAACCTAAGCAGCCTTGTTTACAACCAGTTGAATATGCCTCCTCTATTTTGCATTTGAACTTAGCCAAGGTTATAAAAAGCTCTAGGCGGCCTAGGCGTTTGACCCGATGCCTAGCGCCTAGGCGCTTAGGCGGGAGCCTAGTAGGGGCTTAGGCGATTTTTCTTTCTTATTTTTAATTATAATAATTGATAGTAAATGCTAATGTTATAGAAAGCTTTGATGTCAGGATGACGCCTAGAAGGATTTCTTTCCTTGTTTAAGTGGTGGTGGAGGTTGAAGGTCGGAGGAGGTAGAGATGTTCATAGTTGGAGCCTAGAGGAGTTTGGAGGAGGTCAGAGGACGTGAAGGCTACAACAGAAGAAATCACGATTAGAGGGTGTAGTCTACGTAAGCAATCCACACTCTCCCCTAGGCGCTAGGCGCTAGACAGTCTGCCTAGGTGCCGCTTATGTTTAGGCATACGCCTAGCCAGGTTAGACGGAGGCTTTTTAAAACATTAACTTAGCCCACACTTCAGAAAAGTATTGTAGCACCAGCTATTCTAACTATGCAGATTTAGAGACATATACACACTAAGTTGTATATTCTCCCTAAATACTATCCAGTTTGATACGATGTATACTACCTCAAATGTTAAAACCCTATATCCGCTCTGTCTTTCCTTATTTTTTTTCATATTACTAGTAGTAGGCAACAAACAAGCCTCCATTTCTCTCGCTTCTATTCATTTACTTGTTTATTGATGTTGATTTGATTAACTTCTCGACTCGTCCATCCTACCTTATCTCAGACTATGCAATCATTTTCAGCTATTTTTTTTGCTTATGTGAAAGTAGAGTTTTTGAGTCCCCTTTCGTGCTTTTTTAAGGATTTCTTGCCATTTTGATCTTTGAAGGCCTACAACGACTGTAGGTACTTGAAGTTAAAAGGTCCATGATATGATCAATTAGAAATTTTGGATTTAGATCGATAAAGGAGTCTCTAGAATTGGATTCTGATTTAAGATCAACACATCATTTTTTTTTGCTCCCATTAAATTCACATTTGGATTTTCCTCTAGTTACATATTAAGAGGATTGATGGAGCGACAAGGGAGATAGAAGGGAGATGCACATGGTTTTCATTGATCTAGAAAAGACTAATGGTAATTATGTTGATGGAGATAATATCAATATGTTGGATTTTAGATAAGAAACAAACATGCAGTAAGTATATTGATGTGATTAGAGATATGTATGAGACAACAATAATCCGAATGAGAACAAATAAGGAAGAGAAGAATTTTCTATTGCCATTAGGGGTGCCAAACCGTATCCGTATCCGTATCCGAGGAAATATCCGTAAACGTATCTGTTAGGATATGAATATGGTTACTCAAATCTATTACCGGTAGGATATGGTTGTGGATATGGTTTTGTAGTGAAATATCTGTATCCGTATCCGAAAATATCCGAATACATATTGGTAATACTCTTACGATAGTTTCGATTCTTAGATTATGGATTTGTGGTTAATTTTGATGATCAAGATGTCTAATCTTAGCTTTTCAATCATAATGAACATATTAACGAACTCTTTTTGTATCACATGACTATATTTTTCTGAATATTATCTAGTTTTCTCATATCCTTTTTGTATCCGCATGCATATCCGTTTATTTATCTGCATCTATATCCGTAACCGTATCCGATTTTGGTGGATATGGATATAAATTTTTCTTACCGACGTATATCCGTATCCGTATCCGAGATGGGTAAGCGGATATGGATATGGTAAGTGTCATATCCGAGCCGTATCTGCTCCGTTAACACCCCTAATTGCCATAGCTTTATATCAAGGATCTATTTTAATTCTTAAGTCATTTCGTTTTTGCATTAGTCATGGATTAACATACTAGACATATAATATTACTTCATGAGACTATTTAATGATTATTTGTGAAAGTAGAAAGGTGTAAAAAAATCTTTGATGTTAAAGATTTAGAACTAGTAGAAGTGAGAATAGATGGAACATAATCTTAGTAAAATTGTAAAAAGAATTAGCACAAGTCACATATTAACGGTTAAGATATACTTAGTAGTATTGACTTTCATTATTAGAATCAAACATTTGTCATACTAAGAGGGTTAAAATGGTGGAGTGTTCTAAACTCTTATATAACCGTGGAATACTGGAATAAGTATGAAACTGAAGGGTAAATTTTATAGTTATAAAACAATTATAAGTAAGCAATGTTTTTATAGGTGTGAATGTTCGGTGCTTCTAGATAAAGGAGTAAATTTTATAGTTATAAAACAATTATAAAATGAGCAGTGTTTAAAGATGAGTAGTAAATTTTATGGGTGTGAATATTCGGTGCTTCTAGATAAAGGAGTCTGTAATAGTTTAAAGTTGAGGAAAAATGTTTCCTGACCTTTTGAAAAATCTAAAATATGATCACCCCTTTGATTAAAGTCAAATGTGTCCAATTCCTTTTCCCTAACTTTTACTCTTACACCCTCTTTTTTTCCCCTTCTTATCCCTAGAATATCCTTATCTTCCTTTTCTCCTCCTTCCCGCCTCATGTTAATCTTTTTTCTCCGTTCTATTTCCTCTTTCCTTCCTTTTCCTTCACCCCACCTCGTCCTCCCACCGTCACCACCTTCCCCTCTTCCTTACCCATTCTCCTCTCTCTCCTCTCTACTCCAAGCCAACTTCATTGTTCTCCTCTCTTCCCATCTCAACTTCATTTTCGTCTCTTCTCATCCATTTGACCTTCTCCCTTCCGCACCTACCATCCTCCCATCGTCTTTCTTTTTTTTCCCCTCATGAATCTATGAATAACATTTCTTCCTTCTCCTTCTCAGCTATTTCCACCACCTTTTCTGTTGCATCCTTCCTCTTTCTTCTTGTCATTTCTCAATCATTATTTTTAACCGTTGTATCCTCTCCATCATTTTCCCTCTTTCCTCAGTCATATCTTCTCCTCTCATAATTGTTGTTGTATCACTCGAAAGCCGTCTCCTTTTGCTAAAACATATATTTCCTAATGGCACATCGAAGTTAACAACAAATGCTTAAAGATTAACACTTAACAACTTAACTTGACACTTAACAACTAAACTAAACACTTAACTAAAATTAACACTTAACAGTTAAAGTTAACACTTGAAATTTTTTGCCACCATTGTCTCTCCTTTGTCATTTTTTATTTTTTGTCAACCATCTCTCCTCCTTCCACTACTATCGCTGCGTCACTCAAAGACTATCTTCTTTTGCTAAAACATCCATTGTCTAAAGTAATGTTGAAGCTTTAACAACTAAAGTTAACATTGGAACCATAAAGTTAACATGTAAGCTTTAAAATTAACATGTAAGTTTTGAAGGTAATAGATAAGCTTTAAAGTTAACAAGTGACGGTTAATGTGAACTAATAATTAAGCTTTTTTGGCTGCTATGGTTTCTCCACATCTTTCCTCTTTTCTTGTCCGTCTCTTTTTTTAAGGAAGTTGTGGCGGTGTCGGAAGAAGAAAGAAGTGATATAGTTGAGGAAAGAGGAAAAATGACGGAGGAGAGGTTGCGGCGGCAAAAAATGTTATTTGTTAACTTTAGCTGTTAAGTGTTAGTTTTAGTTGTCAAGTATTAATTTTAGATTTTAAGTGTTAACTTTACTTGTTAAGTATTAATTTTAAGCATTAGTTAACTTCAATGCGACTTTAGAAAATGGATGTTTTAGCCAAAAGAAACGGTCTTTGAGTGATGCAGCGGTGGCTATGGAAGGAGAGATGCTTGAGGAAAGGAAAGATGGCGGAGGAGAGATCATGGTGATGAACAAGATAATGATTGAGAAGGTAGTGGTGAAAGAGTTAATGGTTGAGAAGAAAAAGGAGGAAACACTATACATGGATTCATGAGTAAAAAAGAAAGATGAAAGGTTGAGGGTGATGATAGTTTGAGGATAAAAAAGGTGGTTTCTCTCTCATGAGGTGGCAACATGAAGTGGGCTTTTCATAGAAGTTGGGTCAGGGTGAAGTCACATGGAGAAAAAGTCAAGGGTTTGGTCATAGTTTGGTTTTTACAAAGGGCTTGGAAGCATTTTTCTCTTAAAATTATTACTTGTATAATAGAAATAGTGAAAGTGGAGCCTTGGCTTTTTAGAGAGAGACCCATCATAGGCGGGAGTAACGTGACATTAAAATGCTAAATATGAGGATGTTGATTACTATTGAAGTGTACTTAACGACTCTGTAATCCTGCATTTCATTCATAAACCGAAAAGAGCTATATCACAATGGAGCTTGTTGATGAAGATTTTAACTGTTATATCATATATGTTCTTGTATAATGCTAGATATCCACACTTTTGAAGAATAAAAATAGTGTTTTAATATTTAGCTGATATTAGACTAGAGCTAATCCAATTCTTAATGATAAACTAGAGCTAATCCAAATCTTACTAAGGATGTTGACTGATGCTAACTGTATTAATATTGATTCGAGTTTTATATGCTTTGAAGGGGACAGAAGTACTTTTTGAGGAGAAAGTAAGAAAAAAGTGCAACTTTAAGGGTATATATGCAGAGAGCCCAGAAATATAATTATGTAATAGTGGTCATCATCACATTAATGTCATCAACTGAATATATCTTACTAAGAGAGCTCATGGTTACAAAACATAGGTTGGCTATGGAATGCTCGAAAGTACAATATGTTCTTCTAGAATCTTTGGTGTTTATGTGTGGAGAACAAGCTTTTGATATTTTCCTTTTGAGTGAAGATACTTTATTAAAAATTCAGTTTGCTTTTTTAGTAGTATAAAGCTGCAAACTTAGATATACATAAAATAGGATTTAGGATATTTGATATCTCACATTTGTGGGGAAAATCTGGTGCCTGACTGCGCAGCCAAGAGGGTGATGTTTACATCAGCTGTGAGTGTGATCTAATATACAGGAAATCTTGTAACTCATAAAATGAATGCATAATATAGTTGTACTCGCATGAGGTGCACAAAAAATTCATGAGATAGTGAAGTTTGGTTTGCAAAATTAAAAAGGTTGTGTTGGCATATTATAATAACATTGATAGTACAAATATGTAGTTTGTGACGAAATTCCCCAAGGATGTTCCTTTGAAACTTCAGACATCTTTGCAACCTCTTTAAACTCTGCCACAATTCAAAGAGGCAAAGACATCATTAGCTGGTTCCTGGAAGCGATCATTTTGTAATTGGGTAAATGAATGAGTTGTGATATGTTGAGTAGGACATGGTATGGAGTTTGTATCATGCTTGTGTATACATGTGCATGTGTAACCAGCACCCACATACGTCAAATATCCTTGTAATAATTCGTTAATAAATCATTTTCTCACGTGGATCTAGTAAATTTTTTTGCCCATTCATTTATGGTCATCATTCTTTTATCTTCATGTGGTTGTCAATTTTAGGGATCTGCATTTTGAACCCACCATGTTTGGGGTAGCACAATATGTACCATAATCCTGTGCCCCTTTCTTGAGCTGGGGCGGGGTGGAGGAGGTGATCTAGAAGGTTCCAAAGCAGCAAATGGTACCTGTAGGAGAATGTTTGTTTGGGTACAATTCAGTGCGGATATTTAGCTGGGTTAGAATGTGTGGTGTGGGTTCTACCTACTTGTAAACATTCAAGGAGACAGTTAAAAATATCATTTTACTTGTAAACCTGAATCCTATGTTTAGTTGCTTAGACCAACTTTTTTCATGTTTGGCTGCAGACTTTTTGATAGCTTGTTCATTAGGAATTGCATATATTGGGATATGTTTTACCGAAGAACTGACAGTACATTCTCATGTTGATTGCAGGGATAAGAAGAAGCCATATCTTCTCATCGACTTCTCTGTACACTTAATGATAAGCGTGTATGAATTGAATCCTTGCTTCCCACTGAATATGCAAAATTAATAATGTTATTATTTTTTTGCAACATATTCATCTGAAACTTCTTTCAGTTATGTGCTAGGTGCTGTTTTTTTGCAGCTCTGTGAAACACTTAGGCTTGCAGATCATCCAATTGTTCAAGGAATTGTAGATCCCAGTCTTTTCATTCATCGCTTTGTGGATAGTAAGTAACAGACTTCACTATTTCACCCCTTGTGATATGTCACTTGTCTTTATCAAACTCAGGGACTAATCCAAGACGAGAAAGAAAAAAGTTATAGTGTGTTATTTTTTATAAAGTTAAGGGATCTGTTTTTATTTATTTTAGAGGATTGTTTTGGCAGTATGCATTAATGGAAATTCTTATAGTATGGGTTGATTATCTATGTGTTCAGATTTCCATTACATGCACACAATGTTGAGTCAACCGATTGATCTAATAACAGATAGAATTGGTCTCTACTGTAGGTTTAGTGTGCCAAGGAAGTAAGAAAGATGTTGTTCGAACTGCACTGCAAATTGTAGCTAGCATGAAGCGAGACTGGATACAGGCAACTCTCCATTTTATCCTTTTCTCTTGCTTGGCTCTTTTCTGTTTAAACCATGTCGTTACGGTGTAAATCTTGAGCTCTCTGCTTTTATCACATGGCTGAGTCTTGTTGTTTGTTATTGAGTGTAGACAGGGAGAAAACCTAGTGGCTTATGTGGCGCAGCAATATACATATCTGCTCTTTCTCATGGTCTCAATTGCACCAAATCAGATGTTGTAAGTGACAGTCAGATACCTTTATTTGGCAAGTTCCTTTGTAAGCAAAATATATTTGATTGTAAGTTTTGGCATGTGAAGTATATATGCAGAAACTTGGTGTCAGATAGAAACTGATTTTCAGTTTTATTATTAGGTATTAATTTTCAATTTCTTAGTATCATAAGTTCCTCCTGTGCTGTTTTGTAACTCTGTAGGCTAGATTAAGCTGCCATCTATCTCCTAAAATTCTAGGTTGCACTTGATCTTTATATATGAATATTGAATTTGGGTCACTATAGTTTATTTTTCTTTTTTCTTTTTTGTCCTTAGGACATATTGTTATTCACATACAGAAGAAGATATGCAGAGCAATGAACGCGTCCTTCTAGTTTCTAGATACTCATATTTTTGTTAGGCGTAGTGTTTCCTGTCTTTAATTAACTGATAAATACTTTGTGCTCATCAATTTCGCGACCTTATGGCATATTAGTGTGAATGTCCAATCATTTTGATCTTGAGATTTCTTGCCGTTAGAAGTTGTCATGTTTATCTGTGGTTACTTTATTTTGTTTACTAACCTCTAATGTATATCAATGACTTAGTTAGCCAGTAGGGCTTATTTATTAATTATTGCAATGCACATTTCTTTTTCTTTCTTTTTTCTTTACAGGTAACTGTTGTACGTGTCTGCGAAGCAACATTGACAAAACGATTGATTGAGTTTGAAAATACAGAGTCTGGTGGCTTGACTGTAAGCTTCTCCTTTTAAGACGATATTTTTAAATAGAAGCGTGCTTTGTTAATATCCCTAAAACTTTTGGGATAAAGCCTTTTTTTTGTTGATGATGAATAAAGTTGTTAATTTTAGGTTATGATGTCAGTAGCATTCACACATGATAAAGTAGCATTCACACATGATAAAAGATAATGATAGTATGTTCATGCTTCATAATTCATTTTAACTTGTAGACGTAATTATCTAATTTCTCTTGTTATGGAGAAATTATGAATATTTTGGGAATATAGAATCACAAGATTAGTTGAACTCTTAAGTTACCTCAGTACCTCGTCTGGGCATCTGTACCCATGTCTAATATGTGTATGACCTCGATGCTCTTTGGACGCTCCTTGAACACACCTTGAATATGCATAATGTGAATGTGTAATCAAGTAAACAATACATGTTTTAGTTTACACTCTTCATTCACTTCTTGGACGTACATCATGCATTTTATGTCCACTGTTTGCAACTCGCTGGACAAGTGCTAGATTTTTTTTTTCAGCCCATTCCCAGTTCTGAAGAATGATTTTAAAGGATTTTTAGGCATCTAGTTGAAAAACAAGTCTTTTTCCAATTTTATAATCTACTTAATTAATGAAACATAAATATGTTATAGGATTTTAGTTTTCATAACATGCGAATGAAAAAACAAATCGATCCCCTGTAAATTGTTAGTTTTATTACGTATATATGTAGATGTGTCCCTGTATCCTATCTTTACAAATTTGTTGTCCCCCGTTCTTGCACTCGCACTCATACCATCACCATGTAATATAGCTTGAAGTAATAATTTTTTCCCCTGTGCTTCCTCATAATATCTTTTACAAGCAATCTAAATTATTAAATTGGCATAAAAGTACCCCTTTACCTACTAGGTATAAAAAGTGATGTAACAACAAGATATAAACTGTTGACAAACTGTGACAAAAAGCTACTACGGTCACTGACAACGAATTTCAAGCACAAATGAAGAGATTTTTGCATATAGATGCCCTCAAACCTCCCATATTTACAAATTTCACATCTTGATATTTGCGAAAAAACACCCTCTCTTCCCCATCCCTCCTTATCGCCCTCTCTCCTATTCCATCTCACCCACCTCATTCTCTGGTTCCGCTGACTCCCTTTCCACCCTCCAATCCTCAAAACCCAACATCGTTCTCTTTCTCTCTTGGTCCCAACATCAAACGCTCTATCTGAAACAAAGGAGAGGAGAGGTTGAAGAAGTTGAAAAGAGGGGTAAGATTGGAGGAGGGAGAGGAAGTGGTGAGGGTGAGGAGTTTGGGGGAGGGAGAGGATTGGGAGGGAGAATGATAGAGAAGAAATTTTTTTTTTTTTTTGGGGGCTGTTGTAAATAGGGAAGGTCTAAGGGGTATTTACGCAAAGATCACTTAATTTTTTGCACACAAGGGTAGCCTTATTGTCACAAAAAGTAACATTTTATACCTTGTTGTCATCGGTGTAACTTTTATACTTTTTATACCTAGTGCTTAAGTAGTCAAAATTACAAGGATAGTTAAGCTGACATATACGCAGTCAATGATTAAGCTATTCATGGCAAGAAACACTCCTGTATGAACCTAGGGTACTTTTCAGAACAAACATTATTTGTCATGCCCGAGCCTATACAAATGTTATCATATGATCAAATATAAATTGAGACTCATGATAGCCAGCCACAAATCCCTTACTAAGGAAATTCGTGAAGCTTAAATCCACTTCCGAAAAACATATATAAATCTAGATATTTGTGTTAGGATCTAGATGCAAGCCTAGAAAGGGGTTGAATATGATTACTACTCTTTATTAAGAAATAAAAATATTAAAATATTACAGATATTATTGCAAATTAAACAAAATATAAAGAACAACCATAGAACAATCACATACACGAGTATTTTAAGTGGTTTGGGTAGAAATCCTACATCCACTCTTTCTTCCTTATTCGGAGGGGGTTTCCACAGTATATGATAATTATCACCTGGATCACAGACCCAATCCGGTAGGCAATACGAGACCACACCCTAGACTAATCCTAATCTAGTTGTCTTTGCCAACAATCTATCATAACAGTGTAAAACATGGTCCGGCTAGTAACCCTCTTCCTCAGTTTACCCCGGCTTGAGTATCGTCGTCAACCTTCTTCATCTATCAACCTTGGCTTGAGTCCGCCGTCTAAATAAAACCGATAATACGACCGTAATAAAAAGTGTTTTATCAAAACTAATATCAATTAAGCACAACTAGAAAGATTTTACAGCCTTTTTTTGATCAAATCGTTCTTCAAAAGATTTGTAGCGAAGATTTGGAAGAATGATGATGCCAGGGCTGGTTGCATCCCACGAAGAACACAATCCAATGATGTAGCTTGCTCCGAGGATGCAAACAAAGCTCCGAGAGGCAGTAGTAAACAAGATCTCCTTCAAACCCTAAAATAGTCTCTCCTTTTATCTTTTTCAATAAAGCTCTCTAATCTCCCAAATAATATCTTTTCTCTATCTCTGTATATAATCTCACCAATTAGACTCTTATAATTAGGAAAATAACCTTTGAAGTTCTTATAAAGAGATTCAAATAAATGATTGAATTTACATCCTACAAATTCAGATTAAGAAGCAACTCCTGTCTGTCCAGTTCGCCAAAGCCAGCTTTGAAAAAGCCTAAGCCGTGTTTCCATTGCTTCATCCAGAATCGCGTTTCAGACTTTTGTCCGAAGCCGGCTTTACAGTAGCCAAAGCCGACGTTGATTGTTCAATCCAGAATTCAGCTTTTAATATCTTATTTTCATAACTGACTTTACTGTCATCGAAGGCAACTTTACAAGGAAAAACCGACTTTACCTGATCCCTAAGCCGACTTTTGCTGATGCTGAAATTGTAGACTATGCTTTGGATATAAAAGTCGACTTTCATGATCACCAGAGCCGACTTACAAGTGCATGAAACTGTTGTTGTACTTTTGAATTGTTCTTTCGATCCATAACCTTCACATATGACCTCGTATGAATATGAAACTTTAGATGCACATTTATTTGGTCATTTTTCAACTATCACCTACACATTTCAACTCGAAACGCGTTAAATTCATATGCATGCTTTTTATTTGCCAAACCGAGTCGATTGGATGGACAAGGTCCCAACAATTTGATCCATGAAACTTTGATGTTCCATATTCTAAACTTATATCCTGACTCTATATATCCATTTGACTGATCATAACATATGTACATCACTGAATCTACAGCGCGTATCATTTCTAAAGTACCCTAGTATAAGCTAAAAATCATTCATACATATATATTACAAAAAAAAAAATTCTTTGAGAGACCATTCCATAACCAAAATACAACCTAAAAGATAGATTGTATTCAATGATCTAATTCTTGTCTTTAAACCTCCTTGGACTTGAGATCTCCAGCCACGCTAAACTGGAGAGTGGGGTGAGCTTTGCATATGCTCACTCAGTAAGGGTTACATAATCCATAATTTATGTAACTAAAACTTTGCACATGATAGTTACCATTCAATCGACGAGTGTCTCATAAATATGCAATATCTTTAAAACCATTTTTATCCGTAGATATTTAGCAATGTCACACCCTATCTTGACAACTAGACTGCCCACAATGGCAATCTTCCTAAAAAGGCTGTTTTGTTGCGGCTCTCTGGTTGTTACATAACACAACCAGATTGCCTCCCATGTTGCCTGGTTCGGACTGTTTGACTATTTATGTCAACACTCTGTCATAACATTTGACACCTTTGATAAGCTTGGTACTTGCTTAATTTATTGGTGTACACCATTAACCACAAACAATGCAACACATGATTTAACTGTGGTTCAAATATCATTTAGTAAAATCCATGTCATATGTACAGCCTGTTAAGGCAAATACAAATTCCAAAATGCCAAGATATACCAGAATCAACACACAATGGATATCTTTTAAAATAATATCCATGCTTGTATAACAATAAAATGTAAAACTTTTCATGTGGAAAAAACTAAGAAAAATATGTAAACTCCACTTACAAATCTTTTGCAATCCAAGTTTCTCATGGCTCGTCAAAGGTTACTTTGAACTCCTACTGCAGTTTCCTGGTCAGATATATATGAATATCAAACTTTAATCTCCATCCCTAAATCTTTGCATATAAGTAATTATATCCTCTCCTTCTCAATTGTCTTAACATCAGCAATCCAAATATCTTGAAATTAATAATTGAAAACATGACATTTATCTAGTCTAGAATCAAAAGTTTTAGTTTAGGATCGCCTATTTCTCCTTGTCGTCTTTTATTGTTCTATTTTTCTCTTGCTTCCCTTCTCTTTCTCTTTATTCTTGCTGCAGCATGATTCCTTTGTTGCCTTCTCTTCTTTTATTCTCTCTTTTATTATTCTCTTTTTCATCTCTATTTTTCTGGTATTTGCTTGCTGGTTCTGTGCAGGTAGAGGGGACAGGACAAGGGAATGAGCGGGGGAGGGTATTTAATTACCCCTCTACCTTCTACTAGCTAATACACGTCCCTTCCTTTTCGTCATAAAATGTCACCTCCACCTAATCTTATCCATCGCATCCTTAATTCATTGGACTTGTGTCCCTCTCCTCTGTAATACAATGCAACCTCAGCTCCTTTTCTGTCCATGAGACGTGTCCATGACTTTTGCATAAAACCCTTCATCTTTTCCATGTTTGCAAATAATTATTGCAAGATCACGTAATTTATCAGCTATAATAGCTATAAATAAAAATCCATGTTATTACATAATTGTACCTAGATTTTGTTCTATCTGTATCCCTGCCACTTTGTGAGTGCAACATAGCGCCAGTTAATGTGAAACGATGTAATCCTTTCTGACTAGTGTATGCTTGTTTTTTAATTCCATACTTTTGGTGATTGTTAAAATTTTCAAGTACGTATTACCAATTCACAGTTTTTTTATGTTGTTACTTATGATATTTGAATCTTAAATCATTTATAGAAACAAGAAGTCATTGCAAGTCTATTATATTAAACATAGCTTTAGCATAAACTTTAAATATCATGCTGTAGATTTTAAGATTGACCTGGGTGTATCTCACATAAAGCTACTCATAGATTCATCTGCTCATACATTCTTGATGTTCATCCAAATGACCATGATTTTACGATTATCTACATCTTCTCAAGTCTCTGCATTATGCTATTATGTTTCGTGGTAAATCACTCTCGTCTATGATTTTCCAGTTATACATGTATGTGCATGAAAGTGCCGTTCCTCATTGGGAGCACATGAATTTACGTAAATTGTCTTGACAAATGTTATCAAAACCTGTATTAAGAAACACTTAGGAGATCCTAGCCTAAAACCAGCTGAGAAACTCATTTAGCAATTGTTTCTTTCTTTAAATAAATATGTATGTAGTAGGGAACTTATCCTCTATTACATTTATTAAATGACTTGCAGTTCTTCGGCCAATAATGTACAGATGTTCTTTATCTTTCCCGAAAATGAGATGTTATCTCTTTGTATGGTAATATTCAAGTTCTTGCATATATTCTCGTTTGCTTGTAGATTGAAGAGTTTGAAAGGAGAGCATGCGAATTTAATGAGGAGTCTGTACAAAGCCAATTGCCTAGACCTGGACAGGTTCTGTGTAAACATAAGGATGAAGGGGTGCCTCATTTTGCTCATGGACTCTGCAAAAAATGTTTTGAAGAAGTAATTCCTTCTTGTTTTTTTCTTTTTTGTTTTTTCCCCTTTATTCAAGTGAATCCTTGTCCCATCATTTATATTAATATTGCTTGTCTCTGATTCATGCAGTTCAACGAAATATCAGGAGGACTAGAGGGAGGTGCTGAGCCTCCAGCTTTTCAGCGTGCTGAAAGAGAGAGAATGAAAAGAGCAAAAGAACAGGAAAAGATGAGAGGATCAACTGTTGTAAGTGATGAACTTTTTTCTGATAGAAACTATAAATGTTGTTATAATAGTATTATTTTGGTCTGCCTACCAGGTGCTAGTATTGATATTGTCTGCCTACCAAGTACTTTGTGCAGATATGTTGATTCTCTGGTTCTTTTTTTTTTTCTTATATACCTATTAAATGTCATGCAGCTATGTTACATTTAGAAGTGTGTTACATGAATTGACAAATATCCTGCATCGAGACTGGTGCTTCTTTTGCCAAACTCGGACCAACTTATATATTTAGCCACATGCATATAAATATTATATACATGTTTCTTTGCTGAAGAATCTTTTTGGTTCTGCTGATGATCTTTTTAATTTTGTTTGCTGAAAGCTAGTTGATGGCTAACCCGGATCATTCCCATTTTATTTGATTATTTAAGCTTTTTATTAATGACATACAAATGTGTCTTCACTTAGCAGCACCAATTTACTATATATTATTTGGGATACTGTTGCTTTTGTTTTCCTTGAAGTATCTCTTGTTCAGTTCTCACATTATTCTCTTTTGAATGATTCTCATTATGTTACTTGTATAATTTATTTTTCTTCTAACTAGAAACTTCCCTCCAAATTCGCTCTAAACAATTCAAACGCATTTCAATTGAAAAAGTTCATTAGAAATTTGATTGATTTGCGTTTTGATGCATAAACACAAGCATTCAGAGAGCATTAACAAATACATGATGAATTGACAACATAAATTCGAGAGGAAGTGTGACATTATACGGCCAGGACGTGTAGGCAATACACATGTATAATATCTTGTAGGCATTATAAAAGAAACTTGGTTTTAAGTTTTCTCTTAAAATATTAACCCTTGAAATTATTTTTGAACAGATTCCTTATCTCTTCATCTTTATTAACCTCCCAAAATTTCATTTCTTTTATGCAACCACTTGTCAATAATGTATTCTGAGGATTGTAGTTTTTGAGGATTCCTTTCGGGGGGCATATTTAATAAGCTTTAAGCTATGTTAGCTTTTGGCTTTTACAGCAAAAGCCGGCTGCCTGTTTGGTAAAGCTGAGTTGATAAGTCAGTTACATGTTTGGTAAGATGTCATTGATAAGCTGTGTCTGGGTAGAAATGACAAAAACGGAACAGCTAAAGTTCTTGAGAGGAAATGAGAGGGGGATAGAGAGAGGGAGGGAGTTAGGGTTGGTGAGACTATTAAATGAGAGGTGAAGTAGGAATTTTATAAAATAATATGGATAGAATAGTCATTTATGTTGTCAAACCTAGCTTATTCAAGTGTTGGTAAGTTGAGCTTTTCAAAAGTTAGGAAATGCTAACTTTTTTAAATGTTGCTCAAAAGCTAGTTCATTGGAGGTTATCCAACATGTAGATATAAAAAAAAAAAAAACACCACCCAAAAAAAAGGAAAGAAATGGAAAATGCTCCCAATTCTTTCCATATAGAAAAAAAAACTGCGAGATCGATGGAGGATGATCTACTCTTGAGAAAAGATGACGGATTTTGCAACTGAAATTTTCATTTGCAAGACATATTGCATAGATGAATGACTGATATTATATTCTGTTATGCAAATGCAAATGCAGGTGTCTTCACTTATGTGGAGGCATGAGGCATATGTAGAGTTTGTAGGAAATTCTATGAGCGGGAACAGTACATGTATACAGGATTTTCTTACATAAGAATAGGCCAAAGGTCAATTTTGGATGTTGGAGGATGGTCCATCACACGCACTCACCCAGAGATGGTGGAGGATGGTCCACTCTTGAGAAAAGGTAGTGGATTTTGCAACTGAAAGTTTCATTTGCACGACATTTGCATGGATGACTGACTGATACTGTTCTGTTATACAAGTGCATATTGAGGCATCTTTACTTCTCGTGAGGAAGCATATGTAAGGTTTATAGGAAATTCTATGAGCGGGAACAACAAGTGTATATAGGACTCCTACATAAGAATAGGCCAAAAGATCAATTTTGGATGTTCCTACTTTGAGATTATTTTTTTCAGGTTCCGAATGAATTGATTTGCTTTTGGTATACTATATAGCTTTCCTTTTACTGTCAATCCCGCCTAACAGCAGACACACCCGCATCTGCACGCATGCATGCACGCACACATGCAGAAATATCTTTCTGAATCAGTCTGGAACTCAACTCTAGTCTTTACCAAGCTAGCACGTCATTTAATTGCACTTGACTCCCTGGTGCCTTCAAGGAGGTCCCATACTTGTTATTTATTTATTTATTGGGTCAATGAATTAAATGAAAATCACCAAATAAGCTTTG